GTGCAGCTGGGCCACTTTGCTGGCTGCAGATCCACCACAGGTCCCCCGACCCAGGCTGCTGGTCCCTCACGTGAAAGGCCACTAAGGGCCTTCCCTAGAATGTAGGTGAAAGGGCACTAAGGTGGCAAACAGCCTGATCTCATCTGATCTGTAAAACAAGCACCGGCTGGTCGTTCTCCTCGGGAAGGCACCAGCTCCACAGCTGAGGTCTGCAGCCTGCTGTGTTTGGCGCTGGTGTGTGGGGGCAGCGTCAGCGTTCAGTTAACTTTCTACCTTCTGGCAGAATCTGGTGGTGGGTCCGTCTTCTGCAGACTCAGCAAATTCTGTCCACGGCAGCTTCTCTCTCGTGCAGAAAGCAAAGGGCATAGCTGCAGCAGAAGAAAGGGGGTGCTGGTGAGTGACACGCAGTGCTCAGGGCTCTGAGGGGGGCCGCTCCGCCCAGTAACGGGGAGAAGGAGTCATCACAGAAGAACAAGGCCTCAGGAGGGTCGGGGCCTGGCTTCCCAGACCTGACTCCGGCTGTGGGCACGGGGCAGACCTTCTTCTGGGAGTCAAGGAAGAACCAGGGCCTGAGCCAAATGTCCTTCCTATAGTCTTCAAAAGATGACTGTGGATGCTACAGCTGAAAGTGGCTCCCAGAGGCAGGGCTCCAGTTGCTGGCCCACCCGCAAGGCGTGGAGAGCTCAGCCGGCCAGGAGTCCCCAGGAAATGTATCAGTGGCCACTGATGGCGGTGCCCGGCCCCTTGGCACTTCACCCTCATGGCTGCCTCACCCCGGAGACGGGAGCCTTGTCAGGAGCAAGACAGCCACCCACTAGTGACCCCGATACAAAGATGATCCAACCTTGCTTGCTGACAGTGAGGACGACTTGAAGCACTTACTGAACGGAGATCAAAGACTACAGGCTGCAGTATGGATTGTACCTTGGTACAAAGAAAACCAAAATCCTCACAACTGGACCCATAAGTAGCATCACGATAGATGGAAAAAAGATTGATGTCACAGATTTCATTTTACTTGCATCCACAATCAACACCCATGGAAGCAGGAGTCAAGAAATCAGATGACGTATTGCACTGGGCAAATCTGCTGCAAAAGAGCTCTCCAAAGTGTTAATTAAGAAGCAAAGATGTCACTTTGAAGGCTAAGATGCCCCTGGTGCAAGCCATGGTATTTTCAATCCCCTCCTATGCATGTGAGAGCTGGCCAATGAATAAGGAAGACCGAAGAAGAGTGGATGTACCTGAATTATGGTGTTGGCAAAGAATGCTGAAGGTACTGAGCACTGCCAGAATGAACACGCCTGACCTGCAGGAAGAGCAGCTGGCATGCTGCGCGGAAGCAAGAACGGCCAGACGTGCTCTCACTACTTTGGTCATCGTCCTGGTTCCCTAGTGCCGCTCTGACAGGAATATACCACAGATGAGACAGCTTGAACAAACAGGAGTTTATTCTTACGCTCTGGAGGCTGTAAGTCCGAGTTCAAAGTGCCAGGTTCGAGGAGTTCCGGCAAGATGGTGGACTAGGCAGAAAGACTGCACAGACCCTTTCCAACAAAGAAAAGGGAAACCAATGAACACAAACACAGAAGATAATCCTGGACCCTGGAGCCTTGAAGGGAAGGATATAGAAGTGGACTAAACCCCAACT